CCTTGCAGTAACAGTGGGCGTGGTAATTTCTATCCCAGTGCAGCAATGTGGCTAAAATGCTATTTCCCCTAAAGGTCGGTCCCACATTTGACCAATCTTGTCTGTATTCAACTACTTAGGTGTTATATGTATTTCTATAGTTCCTTAAATTTGTTGATTGGGTCTTGAAAAAGACCCCGAAATGACCTAAAATTTACTGGCTGATGATCTGTACAAACGCTGTTCCATTTTAGTTTATAGAAACACACTGACTATATAGGCATTTTTGTGATGAGAGTAATGAACATGTATGTACCTTGGAGATTTTATGCTGTTTGCCGTTACATTGCTTCTCTTGGAAAGTTATAAAGAGATGGTGGCTAGCGGAATATGCTCTCATGTTCATGTTGAAAGTTCTGCAGTAGTCAACTGATAGTCATTGTGAAACAAAAACCAACACCAAAACTATGTGCTGTAATTGACATTTGTATTCTAAATTTACACATTAAAACAAATTATTACAGATATTACGAGTAGCTACTACCAGTACAGATTCAAAGATAGATAATGCTACCAAAGCAGTGGTTATAGCAATTGAGACGGTGATGGTAATAATCACCTTTATTACCCACGTGGTCAACGTATGGGCATTTGCATACTAATTTCACGTCACACGAGTGTCGTATCGCGTTGACCTATGTCGTAACGGCTTGACCTGAGATTCTAACGATTTGATTGGATAACCGATGACCTCTCAGTTCCGTCACGTTGTGACGGAACTACTTGTTCATTCATAACAAACACGTGAATTAATTCATTCTACAACTTAGATGCACTGTGGGAATGTAAACATTTTGAACGTTGCCGTGTCGCTGTTTAATTGTGAGTCGAACTGAGACATTATATCCGTCGAAAAACATAAACGCAATGTTTCCACCAGTGATGTTAGCCGAGTGGAAGCGGTTGCAAACCAAGAAACGCAAGTGCTACGGAGTAGTTTACTGAAGGAGGCTGTACGAGGCGATGACAACTGACATGCATCGTGACGTAGGTTACCAAAGGGACAGACTTGAGAATGGCGTAGTGACGTCATGCAAAAGTGAACGTCAGAACAAAATTCTTCCGCAACCTCTTTATGAAAACGGTTTCGGTTTGAAACCACAATAATGCCAAAACTACGATATTTTGTCAATTTATGCATGTAAGATGTGAGTAATAAATAAAATACCACACTCGTTTCGTATAATTCGTATGTAATGAGACCTCGTGTAGTATTCTCTCTATTTATTACCCACGTGGTCAACAATATGGGTAGTTGCATACTAATCTCGTACGTCACACGAGTGTCGTATCGCGTTGACTTATGTCGTAACGACTTGACCTGAGATTCTAACTATTTGATTGGATAACCGATGACCTCTCAATTAGGTCACATTCTGACGTAACTATTTTTTCATACATAACAAAACGTGAATCCATTCATTCTACAACTTAAATGCATTATGGGAATGTAAAGATCGCGAACGTTGCCGTGTCGCTGTTTAATTGTGAGTCGAACTGAGACATTATACCCGTCGAAAACGTAAACGCAATGTTTCCACCAGTGATGTTAGCCGCATGGAAGCAACTGGAAACCAAGAAACGAGGTGCTACGGAGTAGTTTATGAGGAGGCTGTACGAGGGCGATGACAACTGACATGCATCGTGACCTCGGTTACCCTGGGCAGTGACGTCATTACAGTGACGTCATGCAAATATCAATACTACAGTACAAAACTCTTCCGCAACCTCTTTATGGAAACCGGTTTCGACTTGAAACCAAAATATTAACAAAAATACGCTATTTTGTCAATTTAATGCATGTTAGACGTGGGTAATAAATAAAATGCCACACTCGGTCTCATTACATACGAATTATACGAAACTCGTGACCTTCCTATGTTTTCTCTATTTATTTCTCTCCCGTGGAAGATGCTGCAGTGTAATATATTTACGTCAATATTACACTAGTGTAATACCGCTAGACGTATGACGTCATAATGATTTACAGTTATGACGTCACAATGCTAATACCTCTGTCACAATGATATTAGGAGACATTGCTTGACTTGCGGAAAGCTGAAGAAAGTCATCACACACACAGTAGTAGGCAGTTTCTATCAATTTATGTTGGAGATTAATAGACAGAATACTAAACGACTTCTGTGAAATGCCGATCTTTTATTAAAGTCGTGAAAGATCTCCTCTTCATGGCTTTCTTTGGTTCGATCTAGAAATAATGCACTAGTTGTATGTAAATCTGGGAATCTCTTGTGCCATCATAGCAGATATATGTGAATGGCAAAATGGAATCTGAGAAGATGACATCCTCATGCCAAAGTTTTTTGAATGCCAGCAAACTGAAAGTAAATTTTCTCCAACCTATGGACTTTGACTATTTTTTGTGTGGTGCTAAACATCCTATTACAGAACATCAGGCTGTGAGAGAAGGTAAATGGGACCTCCATGCTTATCAAAATTTATCCTTGAAATAGAAGTTTATGTCCGTGTTGTGGTGCGGCTGTTCTATGACACGTCAACAGCGAACCTTTAAAGAATATATTAACTTGGCACAGATCAATACGAATTACAGTTGCTGTATGCTTTACCGAGAGAAAGTGAGTTTAGTTTTACGCCGCACTCAGCACTATTCCAGCTATTTGGCGGCGGTCTGTAAATAATCGAGTCTGGACCACACAATCCAGTGATCAACAGCATGAGCATCGATCTACGCAGCTGGGAACCCATCGCATGTGTCCAACCAAGTCAACGAGCCTGACCACACCCGATCCCGTTAGTCGCCTCTTACGACAAGCATGGGTTGCTGACGATCACTTCTAAACCCGATCTTCACGTGTCCTGTATACAAAGAGTGGCAGTAGAAAAACAAAGACAGTAAACAAAGACCATAAATTTTTTCAGTGGTAATAGGAACAAAGTCAGCGATAGTATTATTATTCAGCAAACAGTGGTCAGATTGCAATATATAGTCTACTGTTCACGTAATCGTTAGGGTGGTGGAATAGCCTAGTGGTTAAGGCGTTCGCTCGTCACGCCGAAGACTGGGTTCGATTCCTCACATGGGCACAGTGTGTGAAGCCCATTCCTGGGTGTCCCCGGCGTAATATTGCTAGAATATTGCTAAAATCGACGCAAAACTAAACTCACTCGCTCACTGTCATAATTACTGGTCGTCCTCCCTTATAGGTATTTTAGGAGCTTCCATTTCAAACTTGACCACAAACGTGTATATATGGCACATATACCACACTCTACCGTCTACTGAACCTAAACCCAAATAACACTACCGGGGAGGATACAGCTTTTGGAGAAAAGGGGCGCACTGTGAGAGAAAGGAGGTGCATACGTCATTTTTCACCCGAGTTTCAATGGTCATTTAAAACTTTCAGGCTAAAAGTGGGGGGGGTGGGGGTGGGGGTGTGGATCCACCTATGCACTGTTTCAAATTCAACCACCCCGTCAAGTAACATGAACGTGGGAGATGCTTTCAATCATTATCTAAAAAAATAGAGATACTTTTGTGGTAAATTAATTCACATAACTGAAAATCAAGTGAATTGACATGTATATACTTCGACCTGATAAATTTAATCAACACGTTAATTATAATTGCCATCTGTTGGAACCCTTTAATCCTTGTTTCTGTATCCGAGCAGCCTCATCGCCGTCATGCCCCATCACCAGGTAGATGCTTCTTTATGAGAGGAGTGGTGAGTGCACTAGTGATGCTGTGCATGTTCCTCATCAGTGGACTTACCGTGACTACAGTTCTAATATTCAGTATAAAGGGAGGTAAGACTTGTTACCTTATCAGTGTCCTTGAGATACAAACTTTTATTGAAGTACATGGTCATGCATGGTGTTACTAGGAGAGCAGAACGAGCTCATCCTTCAGATGTTACAATGATTCTGTGGAATTGAGGTAAGACATATTCTGTGGAATTGAGGTTAGACATATTCTGTGGAATTGAGGTTAGACATATTCTGTGGAATTGAGGTTAGACATATTCTGTGGAATTGAGGTTAGACATATTCTGTGGAGTTGAGGTTAGACATATTCTGTGGAGTTGAGGTTAGACATATTCTGTGGAGTTGAGGTTAGACAGATTATTCTGTGGAGTTGAGGTTAGACAGATTATTCAGTGGAGTAGATGTTAGACTGATTATTCTGTTGGGTTGAGATTTGATTGATTATTCTGTGGGGTTGAGGTTTATATTCATTATTCTGTGGATCTTAAGTTAGACTGATTGTTCTGTTGAGTTAAGGTTAGACCGATTGTACTGTGCAGTTGAGGTAAGACTGATTGAACTGTGGGGTTGAGGTTAGACTGATTGCCTTGTAGAGCTGATGCGAGACTGATTATTATGTGGTGTTGAGGTTAGACTGATTGTTCTGTAGAGTTGATGCAGAGACTGATTATTATGTAGTGTTGAGAGTTAGACTGAGTTGTTCTGTAGAGTTGATGCAGAGACAGATTATCATGTGAGTGTTGAGAGTTAGAATGATTATTTTGCGGGGTTGAGGTTAGACCGATTGTTCTGTGGGGTTGAGGTTACACCAATTATTCTGTGGAGTTGAGAGTTAGACTGATTATTCTGTGGAGTTGAGGTTAGACTGGTTATTCTGTGTAGTTGAAGTTTAGATTGATTATTCTGTTGACGTGAGTTAGACTGGATTGTTCTGTGGAGTTGAGGTTAGACTGATTATTTTTTGTGGAGTCAGGATAAGACTGATTATTCTGTTGAGTTGAGGTTAGACTGATTATTCTGTTATTGAGAGAGTTAGACTGATTGTTCTGTGCAGTTGAGGTTAGACTGATTATTTTGTGCAATGAGAGTTAGACTGATTATTCTGTGCAGTTGAGAGTTAGACTGATTGTTCTGTGCAGTTGAGGTTAGACTGATTGTTTTGTGTGAGTTAGTGAGTGAGTGAGTTAAGATTTAAAAGTCACATCGGCAATATTTCAGCCATATCGTGAGCTAAAACTAGTTAATACAGTTGAGAGTTAGACTGACTATTCTGTTCTTGAAGCAAGACTGATTTTTTTGCGGAGGTTTGGTTAGACTAATTATTCTGTGGAGTTGAGGTTAGACTGATTGTTCTATGGAGTGGAAGTTAGACTGATTGTTCTGTGTAGTTGAGGTTAGACAGATAATTCTGTGGAGTTGAGGTTAGACTGATTATTCTGTGCAGTTGAGGTTAGACTGATTGTTCTGTGCAGTTGAGGTTAGACTGATTGTTTGTGGAGTTAAGTGAGTGAGTGAGTTTAAAGTCACATCAGCAATATTTCAACCATATCGTGACTAAAACTAGTTATGTGCAGTTGAGAGTTAGACTGACTATTCTGTTCTTGAAGCAAGACTGATTTTTTGCAGAGAGTTTGGTTAGACTAATTATTCTGTGGAGTTGAGGTTAGACTGATTGTTCTATGGGTGGAAGTTAGACTGATTGTTCTGTGTAGTTGAGGTTAGACAGATAATTCTGTGGAGTTGAGGTTAGACTGATTATTCTGTGGAGTTGAGGTAAGACAGATTATTCTGTGGAGTTGAGGCTAGACTGATTGTTCTGTGCAGTTGAGGTTAGACCGAGTGTTCTGTGCAGTTGAGGTTAGACTGATTGTTCTGTGCAGTTGAGGTTAGACTGATTGTTTTGTGGAGTTGAGTGAGTGAGTGAGTTTTAAAGTCACATCGGCAATATTTCAGCCATATCGTGACTAAAACTAGTTGTGCAGTTGAGGAGTTAGACTGACTATTCTGTTCTTGAAGCAAGAGGGATTTTTTGCAGAGGTTTGGTTAGACTAATTATTCTGTGGAGTTGAGGTTAGACTGATTGTTCTATGGAGTGGAAGTTAGACTGATTGTTCTGTGTAGTTGAGGTTAGACAGATAATTCTGTGGAGTTGAGGTTAGACTGATTATTCTGTGGAGTTGAGGTAAGACAGATTATTCTGTGGAGTTGAGGCTAGACTGATTGTTCTGTGCAGTTGAGGTTAGACTGATTGTTCTGTGCAGTTGAGGTTAGACTGATTGTTCTGTGCAGTTGAGGTTAGACTGACTATTCTGTTCTTGAATCTAGACTGATTATTTTGCGGCGGTTAGTTTAGACCGATTATTCTGTTGAGTTGAGGTTAGACTGATTATTCTGTGGAGTTGAGATTAAAATGAATATTCTGTGTTGAGGTTAAACTGATTATTCTGTGGAGTAGGGATTAGAAAGATTATTCTGTTGAGTTAAGGTTACACTGTTTTTTCCGCGGAGTTCAGATTAGACTGATTGTTCACTGTAGTTGAATTTATACTGATTATTCTGTATAGTTGAGGTTAGACTGATTATTCTGTGGAGTTGAGGGTTAGACTGACATTATTTTGTGGAGTCAGGATTAGACTGATTATTCTGTGGAGTTCAGATTAGACTGATTAGTCTGTGGAGTTGAGGTTAGACTGATAGTTTTTGTGGAGTTGAGGAGTTAGACTGAGTTTTTTCTGTGCAGTTGAGAGTTAGACTGATCATTCTGTGGAGTTGAGAGTTAGACTGATTATTCTGTGGAGTTGAGAGTTAGACTGATTATTTTGTGGAGTCAGGATTAGACTGACTATTCTGTTCTTGAAGCTAGATTGATTATTTTGCGGAGGTTAGGTTAGACTGATTATTCTGTGGAGTTGAGTTAGACTGGTTATTCTGTGGAGTTGAGGTTATACTGATTATTCTGTGGAGTTGAGATTAGAATGAATATTCTGTGGAGTTGAGGATTAGACTGATTATTCTGTGGAGTTGAGATTAGAATGAATATTCTGTGTTGAGATTAAACTGATTATTCTGTGGAGTAGGGATTAGAAAGATTATTCTGTTGAGTTAAGTTACACTGGTTTTCCATGAGTTCAGGTTAGACTGATTGTTCACTGTAGTTGAATTTAGACTGATTATTCTGTTAAGTTGAGGTTTGACTGATTATTCAGTGTGGAGTTGAGGAGTTAGACTGGTTATTCTGTTGGGTTGGGGTTTGACTCATTATCCTGTGGTGTTGATGTGATACTGATTATTCTGTTGAGATGAGGGTTAGACTGATTATCCTGTGGAGTTGAGGGTTAGACTGATTATTCTGCGGAGGCGAGATTAGACTGATTATTCTGCGGAGATGTGGCTAGAGATTATTCTGTGGAGTTGAGATTAGACTGATTATTCTGTGGTTTTGAGGTTAGACTGATTATTTCACTGAAGCTGAATTTAGACTGATTATTCTGTGCAGTTGAGGTTAGACAGATTATTCTGTGGAGTCGAGATTAGACTGATTATTCTGTGGTTTGAGGTTAGACTACAGTTATTTCACTGTAGCTGAATTTAGACTGAGTTATTCTGTGCAGTTGAGGTTAGACTGTTTATTCTGTGTAGTTGAGGTTAGACTGATTGTTCTTTTGGGTTGAGAGTTAGACTGAGTTGTTCTGTGCAGTTGAGGTTAGACTGAGATTATTCTGTTGACGTGAGGTTAGACTGATTGTTCTGTGCAGTTGAGGTTTGACTGATTGTTCTGTGGGGTTGAGGTTAGACAGATCGTTCTGTAGAGTTGAGGCTAGACTGATTGTTCTGTAGTGGAGGGGTTAGACTAATTATTCATTCAAGTTGAGTTCCAGACTGTTTTCTGTGGAGTGAGTGAGTGAGTGAGTGATTATTCTCTGACGTTAAGGTTTTGAAATTCAAAATGTGACACTTTAAAATATAATGTGCTTTCATAGAAAGTACGTACACTGAGATGTTTTATGTAGTAGAGTTGTTTCATATGGTAGGGATGTTCTTGGTTGTTTTATTGTGTTTGAGAAGCGGCGTCATCGGCGCCAACACAATCATATGATAAAATATGAGCAGAAGTATATCATTGCCAAATCTAAATACAACTGAAACACCATCAGCAACAATGACGTCATCACCGACAAGAAACCTACAAGCACACCACCACATGATGGGATTACTTCTAACCTTGTCTTCACTCGATCCTCGCATGCGACGACCACCACTACACCTACCGCTGCGGCAGCCACTACATCTACCGCTTCGCCGACCACTACATCTACTGCCCGACGACCACTACATCTACCGCTGCGACGGCCACTACAGCTACCGCTTCGCCGACCACTACATCTACCGCTTCGCCGACCACTACACCTACCGCTACGCCGACCACTACATCTACCGCTTCGCCGACCACTACATCTACTGCTGCGACGGCCACCACAACTACCGCTTCGCCCACCACTACTTCAACCGCTGCGGCGACCACTACATCTACCGCTGCACCGACAGCTACAACTACCTCCTCGCCGACCACTACATCTACCGCTTCGCCGACCACTACATCTACCGCTTCGCCGACCACTACATCTACTGCTGCGGCGACCACCACAACTACCGTTTCGCCCACCACCACCTCAACCGCTTCGCCGACCACTACATCTACCGCTGCACCGACCACTACACCTACCGCTGCGCCGACCACTTACAACTACCTCTTCGCCGACCACTGCATCTACCGCTTTGCGCCGACAATTACATCTACCGCTGCGCCATGCACTACAACTACTACTGCTACGACCTCTACTACATCGACAACAACAGGTAAAGGAAATGTGCTCGTGGTATATGTCATTATTAAAATTATATAACCCAGTAATTTGTATCGCATGGCTATAGTGTGTAATGTTTGAACCATGCCAAACAGGTTCAAAGGTCACTGGACTGGAAAGTACGTAACTGACTATGGCCTCGGTGATATTCAGTAAGACCCGCAGTCGGGCCTGACTGGTCGATGGTCGGTGTTGGCATGCAACAAACGATTTAGATCTTTTCATTTCATAACGATCATCCTTCAGTTACTGACCCGTGAAGTTCCGGATTCGAATTGGCCTTCCAGTAACCCATGCTTCATCCTAAGAGGAGACTAACGGGTGGTCAGGCTCGCTGGCTTGGTTGACAGATGTCATCGGTTCCCAATTAGCTTAGATCAATGCTCATGCTGTTGATCACTGGATTTATCTGGTCCGAGACTCGATTATTTATAGAACGGATGGCTGGAATATTGCTTGAGTGTGGCGTAAAACTAAACTCATTCAGTTATTCCCTATATGGGTTTATAATATGTTGAAGGTTGCACTGTATCCAGGAAGTGTCATGTGTGTACGTCAGAAACGCCCGATGTCAACAAAACTGGCAACATCGCTGGAGCTTCCCCAGTGAAGTCTGTCCATGTAGCTACCGCCTGCTCTCCGATGTCAGATACGACGATGGTAACTGTTCGCAAACATACACACTGTCAGAATGGCGGCATTTATACAAATTATCCCAATGTACGAGGGGCTACATATTCCTAAAGTCCAGCTATTAAGCCTCATTGGTAATCGTATGACCTATAGTAGGGTCTGACCGGTCGATGGTTGCATAATACAAACGTTTTAGACCTTTTCATTTCATAACGATCATGATTCAGTTTTCTATATGTTGAAGGTTGCAATGTATCCAGGAAGTGTCACGTGTGTACGTCCAGAAACGCCCGATGTCCAGCGAACGGCAACATCGCTGGAACTTCCCCCGGTGAAGTCTGTCCATGTGGTACTGCCTGCTACTCCGATGTCAGATACGACGATGGTAACTGTTCGCAAACATACACACTGTCAGAATGGCAGCATTATACTAATTATCCCCATGTACGAGGGGCTACGTCTTCCTTAAGTCCAGGGCCTAGATTTTCGAAGCTCTCTTAGCCATGAGATAGTCTTTAGTGCCATACATTAACATTAACTTAAGACTATCATAGCGCTAAGAAAGCTTCGAAAATCTAGGCCCTGGTATTAATTCAGAGACGAACCTCAAATGTACTCCTGTAGCTAGAAGGGTGAGCAAGGAGGTAGCCTAGCGCTTAAAGCGTTTGCTCGTCACGTCAAGGCGTGTGTACAATGTGTGAGGCCCATTTCCGATGTCCCGCGCCAGGTTATTTCTGGAATATTGCTAAAATCGGTGTAAAAAGCGAAAAGTTATAAGGCAGAATCTGATATGCGTATTGAGCCGTGACACAGTAAAATTTGTTTCTTTCAGAGAACATAGTGCATCGAGGATGCACCAGAGGTTTTCCCCAGTGGGAAGAAACGTCCTCCAAAGACCCGACATGTCGAGAAATTGGTCGACACTTCCTGTGTTTCTGTCAAGGAGATCGTTGCAATACGCACGACATGACGACCTACCTTTCCGGAAAGTGATCGAGAGACAGTTATTTAAACGCTCTCTTTAACAAGAATATAATAACATGCTTGTAATGCGCCGTTTTCCTTGTACAACATGCTAAAAGTGCAAGACATAGATATACATACAAACAGACTATAGGAGAGAATAAAGATTAAAGATACATGGAAACAATGCAATGAATTATCGTTTACACTCATAAGCTAATTTGAAAAAGTGAGTCTTCAGTAAAGATTGAAAATTAGAAAGTTCTGTACAGTCACGGAGATACTGAGGTAGTTGATTCCAGGCTGTAGAGGCTGCATACGAAAAGGACCTTTCACTATAAGTAGAAGTCCTCACAGTGGGAATAACGAGGAAACGTTTATCCTGTGAACGGAGAGAGCGACATGGTACGCAACTGAGGAAAGCAGCTCTGGACTAGATGGGAAACGTGATCATCCAGTGACACATCTGAGTCGATAATCACACTAAGGTCTTTTACCTTGTCAGCGATTTGGATGTTTGTATTATCAAACCTAAAACCTGTAAGACCACACTGTGATCTCCTTTTATGTGGCCCTTGGACAATGCATTCCGTCTTGTCACTATTCAGTTTTGGTTTGTTGTAATACATCCACGCCTTGATATCTTCACAACAAGTGCTCAATTCACTCAAAGTCCTGTGCGCCTGAAGTGGCCTTGACTCCATGGATCTGTAGACTTGAGAGTCATCAGCATAGTGATATCTGTCCGCTTCTTGTCCTTCCACGACACTTCCAAGCTACTTTATATACAAGGTGAAAAGAACCGGTCTTAAGACGGATCCTTGTGGAACCCCACACGTAAGATATAATGGGTCAGATGACAACTTGTCAATGATTACACACTGACTTCTATCAGACAGGTATGATTTAAACCACGCTAAAGCTGTTCCATCGATGACAAAATTCCAACCTCAGACGTTCCAGGAGTTTGCAGTGATCGTTGTTGTCAAATGCACTGCTTAGGTCAAGAAGTGCCAAGACTGCGAGATACCGGTCGTGTTATCGATGCCAAGCCGAATGTCACTGATCACTTTCAGCAGTGCAGTCTCGGTGCTATGATGGCTACGGTAGGCGGACTGTAGATGATCATGAAGGTCATGTTTATCAAGATGTTCAGAAAGTCGTGTGCATACAGCACGCTCAGCTAACTTGGAAAGATAACTGAGATTAGATACTGGCCGGTAGTTGCCAAGCAGATTAAAGTCTAAGTTTGGCCTTTTCAGGAGTGGCTTCACTAGATCTGACTTAAAGGAAGACGGCACTATTCCATATTCAAGACTAATGTTGATGATTTTTGTAAGAGTCGGAATTAAAAGATCAATGTTATCAAGGATGATGGATGTCGGCACAGGGTCCAAGTCACAGGAAGTAGGATTGGACTTCCGGATAATTTTCAACACTTCATCACAGGTGAATTCATTGAAAGTAACCAGTTTCTCCGAGCAATCATCAGTTAGTTCAGTAGAGGGCTTATCCGTGCTGGTCTCACATTCGCCAGAAGAATCTGCAGACATCATGCCAGCACGTATCTTGGCAATTTTCTCTGTAAAGAATTGCTGGAACCGGCTAGGCAACACCTCGTGAGAGTCTGTTTTCGGCAGTGGTGAACTGAACTCCTTACCAAGAAGGGCGGGACATGAGTCTGTACAGTGATCTTGTGTCAGACATTGAATCCTGGATTTGAGAGTTCAGTGACATCTGTTTGGCCTGCCTTATCAAAGACGTCACTTTATTTCTTGCAACACAGTAAATTTGCTTGTGGATTTCAAGATGGAAGCGTCTCCAGGCTCCCTCAGCACGGCGCCTGGCTTTCTTCGCAGCAATAACCTCCGGTGTTACAGACCATGGTGTAACAGGGCGATCTGTTACATGCTTAGATCTAAGAGGGGCATATTTATCTAAGAGTTCAATGAGGACACAGTTATATTTGTCAATGAGTTTGCTAATATCGGACGGTGGATTCTGTATGAGATCAGAATTTGAAAAATCACGTCTAAACGCATCTCGATCTAAATGTTTTAGATTCCGACACTGAATGAAACTTTTTTGGGAGTGGAGGTTTGTCTGTATCAAGTTCTAAAGAAACAAGGAAGTGGTCAGAAATTTGGAGGTCAATGACAGAGGGATTCAGGACACAACACTGATCTTTCAAACTACCCAGTCTAAGCAGTTACCACCATTACGCGTGGACGCAGACACAGCTTGAATACATCCGAGACTTTTGAATTTTTTTGTCATTTTCACAGCCTGTGCACAAGTAGTATTCCCAAAGTCAATGTTGAAATCCCCTAGAACAACCAATCTAGATCGTGCTGTACATTTTGTTTCTATGCGGGTTGATAATTCATCAAAGAACTCAGCAAATGTAAGTTTGTTTTTCACTGAAGGAAGGGGTCTGTACAGTGCCAAAATATTTGTTGTAGTTTTGCCAACAGTCAACACAAAGTCTAGGGTTTCAAACAAAGAGGAAACAGTATCATCCAAAAGTTTAACTTTGAAATGAGACCTGTATATGATGGCCAAACCTCCGCCACGTGTGGGGCGAGGCTTATGCTGGCACAAATATCCAAATGGTGTCATGGAGACAACTTTTGCCTCGTCGACGGACTGCCGGAGCCATGTCTCTGTCAACACAAGTATATCAATGTCATTGTCATTGACAAGATCTTCAATTTCCTCACACTTATTGAAACATGACAGGGAAACAGGGAAACTTTGACTCTCGTTGGCAGATTAGTTGGTGTGACATATGTGAGATTGGCAGTATTTACTGAGTTGCTTTTAGCTGGTTTTGCAGGACGGTAGCCAGTTACAATGCTGATAGCTCTATGGTGACGCCTACCACCTTTTTTCCCTCTCTTGAAAGGGCGTGATCTCCTGTGATTGACAGGTCTGATTGAGTCAGCACAATGCAGTAGATTAGTATGTTGTGGATGTATATATGGATATATCATATTGTTTAGTTTAAAGTTCGACACGCGACTGATGCGAATCAGGGAGGTTTCATATTTTCGTTCAGCGTGTAGGGGACACTCTCATTTTGGCAATGTTATGAAGTTTTCTTTTTTAAAAGACGATTTAGAACTTGAAGTTTCCACCTACATGTTTTAAATATTTGAGCCTGAAATATTTCAAATACTCGTCGTTTGACGCCAAACTGATGACACCATTTGGTCAGCAGGAACTGTACTAGTTGTGATATCAAAACAAAACCACTAAATCAGAATCTAATATTTGTTTTAATTTACCTTTTATTACCTTTAATATCTTACGTTCCAAACTTCCTATTACACTAAACCTCTGTCAAACAATCTAACACCCAAATGGTTACCACTAACGAACTATCTCAAGGCATGCTGCCTTATCAACATATCGATACGAACTAACTACAATTTCACTTCGAACTCCACACGTGGCGAAAACGCATGTTTTTTGCATGCTCAAGCTTTCCGCGAAGAAATTTGTTGTCAGGTGTGTTTTTCGCGAACTGTTCGTATAACCTGTCTGGTTAACTGGTTAACTGTAGTGAATAAATCAGTACAATGAATGAACAATACGTTTGTGTGGACAATCCTTTCGTCCACCATTTGAATACAATATTCAAGAGTGATGTGTTGTCCGTGAGAACACTTGACCTATGACACACATTTATGGCTTTTTATTATATCGGTACACTTACAGAATACCGGATACCTAATTATATACATTCTATTGTGCGCGTGAGGCTCCTATATATAGAAGAAACAGAGAGCGCGAACCTGCGAGAGATCCAATAAAAATACAAATTTAAGGTAAAAAATAAGGTTAAAATCGAATTCCTCACCTTACTTCCGTTTTAGGAAACCTAAACTGGGGATTTTAACAGCGTTCACTGACGTAAACAGAGTAAAAAGTAATCGTGTGTTGAAATTTTATTCAAATGCATGCTGGGAAAAGTAACTCTACAGTGTTGGAACAGTCTGATGTTAAGTGTTTTTTGATTGGTAAGGTAAGGTAAGGTAGGTAAGGCTTTTAAATAAAGGGGGGGACCCCCTTTACCCCTATTATCTTACCTTTTTTTAGCTTTAATATTGTTTAATATTTGATATTGAACGCTGCTTCAACACAGCCTTCATTCATGGCGTGCTGTTGCTAAGGAAACAAAACGGAAGTGCGCAAAAATAAATGCGCAATCAAAATAAAAATGGCGGATAGGTATCCGGTATTCTGTAATCTTGTCATTATGTCCTCCATGTCTTCCCCCTCCCCACCCCTCTGCCAAACTTTACCTCCTCCATGTCTCGTAAAATTGTCTTATAAAGGATCAAAGTGAGTGAGGTGAGTTACAAGAATAAAATGATTGTTTTTTTTGTTGTTTTGTTTGTTCATTGTGAACATTGTGAGTTTTAGAGTAAAAACATCGTACAGCTGTATTTCGAAACGGGCATACTGGGCCAGCAATCTAGTGATTGATATTATGAACAGTGTTCCATTTCATCGAGATACGATTGTAATCATTGACTTTCGTCACTTGTGATAGGCAGTGAGTTCTCTCCTTACCTCGCTCCATATTTAACGATATTTGAAAATATTATTTTGCATTCAAGAACGTAATAGTTTACAATAGCACAACCACATGCATACACAATCTAATTAACGCATTGAATTGAAATGAAACCATGAAAGTATTTTGGAAATATCTAAAGAATGACAATAGTATACTATGGGATATGGTGCTGACAAACCTGGAAGTATAATCGTAGAGAAACGGGATTTGACCACATACTCATAGGCTCCTGGCGCGCATAAGGGGCGCAACTCAGCACAGACTTCTGGTTCATTCACCCGTGTCCCTGGTGGGATATAAAGTCAAGGTACATATATTGAAATTATTTTTTCGTTTCAAAAGTCTCCACTTGATCTAACACCATGCAAATGGCTTATTACGTATCACTGAAAGGTGAGTGAGTGAGTGAGTTTAGCTTTACGCAGCACACAGCAATATTCCAGCTACATGGCGTCGGTCTGCAAATGATCGAGCCTGAACCAAACAGTCCATAGGCGGATCCAGAGTGTGTGTGGTGGTGGTGTGTTGTGTGTGTGTGTGTATGTGCAGGGTGTGCACCCCACACACACACACACACACCTTGTCCTGAAAGTTTATTAAATGACCATTGAAACGATCGTGTAAATGAAGTGTGCACCCCCTTTCTCAATAGTGTGCACCCCACTTTCTCAAAAAGCTGTATCCGCCCCTGCAATCCAGTGATCAACAGCACGAGCATCTCACTACGAAACTGGGATACGAAGACATGCGTCAACCAAGTCAGCGAACCCGACCGCCCGAACCCAATAGTCGCCTCTTACGACAGGCTAGGGTTACCGAAGATGAATTCTAACCCGAATATTCACGGGTGATTGGCCATGACCAGCGAAAGGTGTAGTTGACGGGATTACATATTGTACTTTCTATCAGGTTCAAATGTTATATACTATACATTATACTAGCTATGCATGTATAGTCACACATTATAATCTGTAGCTATAACCTCCCACTGAAGATAAAGTTGCAACAAGTAGGATGGAAATTGCTATTGTGTGATTATTAAATCGGTTAGAGCGTCCGCCCGGAGAGCGGAAGGTCGCGGGTTCGATCCCCAACCAAGTCATACCAAAAAGACGCTGAAATATGGTACTTGTTCGTCCCTGCCTGGCGCTCGGCATTAATGGGTACAACAAGGACTGGTCGGCTCAGAGTCAGTATAATGTGTCTGAGTGGGGTATTCATGCTTCACTGCGGCATGATATCTCAGTGGGCTAGCACTATAAAACCAGCTTACGTCTGGGCTAGTACATGCAGCCGCACATACACATACGCCCGCATGCACGTCGTCATATGAGTGAAATATTCTCGAGCACCACGTTAAACCCAATTCCACCCCACTTACTACTACTACTACTACTACTACTACTACTACTACTACTACTACTACTGCTACCACTACTATTATGTGTTTACAGACGTAGTCTTACTATGTATCCGTTCTTCGACATCTTTAGCACAATCATGTATACGAGATATGAGTTTGGTTGTACAAATCATTGTCAGTCCTGTAGTAGAAATATTCGAAACAAATGCAGCATTACTTCGCTCTACACCTGATTAACATTTTTCAGATATAACATATAGTGATATACATTCATAATTGAAGGGTAAATCGCTCTCCTTGAAACAATTCCCACGATTTGATATTACGACTCAACATTATACCGTTCGCAAATTAATGACATTTGCAATACGAACACTCCTCAGAAATGCAAGTGCTTCCAGAAAGCAAGGATCATACCATGATGTGTAACACTGTATCATTACTCATACCTATCGACAAGAGCATTTTCCCTGCACGACAGTTGACGCATTATTTATGACGCTGCGGTATGAAAGGAATTATAGGCAAGTCACATCCTGGGAGACACACTGCTCTCATATCAACGCACTTGGAAGGAGGCATTTGTGCTGCTTAAAAGTTAAGTATGATTGACACCTATCGTGTCTGAACTGTCTTCAACAAACATCGTAGGTATTTTCCAACATACGTGATATCACTTTTAGACCCTCTCCTTGCTCTATGTGCTGTAATACTGATGTTCTCCGTTCCCGTGTGCTATCATGAGCATCTATATTTCTCCCTTGTGCCAAATCTGATGCGAAGAGCAAGCTACAGACTACCCAAGTGTTCTCCATCGTCTCTCGGGGATATATCAGTAGCACCACAGGCTACCCAAGTGTTCTCCATCGTGTCTCGAGGATATATCAGTAGCACCACAGGCTACCCAAGTGTTCTCCATTGTGTCTCGAGGATACATCAGTAGCACCACAGGCTACCCAAGTGTTCTCCATCGTCTCTCGAGGATACCAAGTGTTCTCCATCAGTAGCACCAAGGCTACCAAAGTGTTCTCCATTGTCTCTCGAGGATATATCAGTAGCACCACAGGCTACCCAAGTGTTCTCCATCGTGTCTCGAGGATATATCAGTAGCACCACAGGCTACCAAAGTGTTCTCCATCGTCTCTAGGGGATATATCAGTAGCACCACAGGCTACCCAAGTGTTCTACATCGTGTCTCGAGGATATATCAGTAGCACCAAGTCTACCAAAGTGTTCTCCATCGTCTCGGGGATATATCAGTAGCACCACAGACTACCCAAGTGTTCTCCATTGTCTCTCGAGGATAGATCAGTAGCACCACGGGCTACCCAAGTGTTCTCCATTGTGTCTCGAGGATAGATCAGTAGCACCAAGTCTACCCAAGTGTTCTCCATCGTGTCTCGGGGATATATCAGTAGCACCAAGTCTACCCAAGTGTTCTCCATCGTCTCTCGGGGATATATCAGTAGCACCAAGTCTACCCAAGTGTTCTCCATCGTCTCTCGAGGATATATAAGAACCATTACAAGATCACTACAGAAAATCGCTATACATCATGACCACAAATGAATCCTCAAGAGATCCCACTGACTTGAGAACCATATCCAATCCATCTAATGTCTCCCATGGCAGTGTTCGTCATTCCTATATCTCTGTCATCGATATGAATAGTACTGAGCAGCTGCCAGATGTGGTCAGTTGGAACACCATGAATGATGAACCTGAACACTATTACGATACGATTGGGAGTCTTCAAAGGGATAAAAACAGATACACTATATCAATGACCAGCGAGGATAATTCCAGCGGTCAGTCTTTGCCTCCATACATCGTGTTCAGTCACCTTCAGGTAGGCATGTTCATCAATGTAGCTGTTTAACGTGTCCCTCCAATATTCCAGTTATAAGTCGGGGTTGTCTGGTGATTCGCATAATGAACATAGACGTTCGCAACTGGGATGGGATGGCAAAGGTCAACCTCGTCCGAAAGCCTGCCGCCACTTACCAAACATTTTCACGGGTTGTTCCGTTGTTTATTGCCGTCGGTTGTGTCCATAGGTTGAGAAAACCCATGACTTTTTAACCGATAGAATGATATGGCGTTAGATGTTATATACGCGTTATCATTGGACTGTATTAATATGTAAGGGGTGGTCAGGAATGCATTCATACTTTTGCTTGTGTGTCTATGAGAGATTTGTTTGAGTGGCATTCTAGAAGATGGTGGTATAGAGATGACAAGACTTTATGGATGATCAACGTCTTTATTTTCACAATGACTACGTTTCGGTATAGATTCTTTTACCATTTTCAGACATACTTGGAAACGGTATAAGCATGCGTGCTTGAAACATCAAGCACGCACGCAGGCACGCACACACAGTCATCTAACCAACTCAGCCACCGCGAAGTGGTCAAATGTGATATATGTTATATTTGGTAATATCATTAGACCCAACCTAACAAAAGAACTAGAATATGTACTTTACTGAGAAATTGTAATCCCAAATAGTTGCTGAAGATGCTGATCAGTTCTTAGCACTGAGGTTTTATGTTTCCTACATAACTCCGCACCTTTCATAACCTGAATTTGATTCTCCGCTGCACCTCGTTATCTTGGTCATAATTGACTGATATCTGTCGCTAAAGGGTTTTTGAGTGCGAGTTGATGAGTGAACGTGAAGAACGTTCCAGAGGACATACTTAACTTATGTCCTTGCTGCTAACAAGCGCTATAAAGACTGGGCGCACCTACAATACGTCAATTTGTAACTTAAGAATAGAATGTTGTAAAATGGCGATGGTGATATATTGGACGTCTCTACATGGGACAGCGGGCGAGGTTACCGTTGATAGCTTATGTGGTGGTAATTCTACTAATGTCAGTACAGTCTGAAATACTTCAAGTATTACCGAGTATTTGATCAAACTATAAATCAAACATTCTAGACTTCCGGGTCCGGTTTTCTGTACTCGGATCAGTGTACTTCATAAATCAAGTGACCCGACTGTTTAATCCGGTGAACAACTTGACGTTAAATCGTGACAGAATCGCTATTCAAATTCATGTTCATGCGAGAAGATGGACGCACGTGACAGATACTGCATATGGACTTTGAGGGTACTTATTACAAATGAATCTCAATGACATAGACTACATATGGACCGCAATGTCACATGTAACTTTTGGAAATCAAAGACACAAATTACAAGTGCATCGCAGTGACACGTAACACATAATATTGGCCCCAGTGTCGCATGTTACATACAGACTCAATGACAGATATGACATACAAGCTTACTGACATATATAACATATGATTAAAGAACACCAAATTCCGCATTGATCCCAATGACAGACATAGCATATGGACCCTAATGACAAATATCACGTTTATCACTATTTTTACTCTTCTGTTACTACGTGCACAAGCTACATTTGAAGATCCTGGTTAGAATTGGTCTTCAGCAATCAATGCTTATCGTGAAAGCGACATACAGAATTTGGTCGTCAGGCTTGCTGACTCGGTTGACACAATGTCGTCGTATCCCAGTTGCATAGATCGATGCTCAGGCTGTTGCATTGATCACTTCATTGTCTGACCCAGACTTGGTTGTATACAGATCACCGCCATATAGCTGGTTATATAACAAACAAACAAAACTTGTAAAAACATTGCAATATATTTTCGTAAGCAAAGAAATTTTCTTTTCTTTCCTGAATCATGTAATTTCATTCTGAAATATCGTATAAGTGACATGAATGATATAAAACTGGTACATTCCATAACAACTCTGTTTTAATGTTTTGTCTTGTAGCAGTCTGCGACACTGCCTCTGGCTCCAGGGAGCCGACGGTTGTCTTGGAAACGGTGCTTGTTGGCGGGACTAGTGGTAGCAGTTGTAATGGCCCTCCTGGCGGCGCTTGTAGCAGTGACCGCAGTTCTTCTCACACATCAAGCAAGTACGGCACTTTCTATACTTTGTATAATGATGTGATGTGGGGTAGTCCAGTGATTAAAGTGTTCCTTCCTCACGCCGAGGAACCGGTTCAAATCACCGGATGGGTGTAATGTTTAGGAATACCAAGAAAAATGCGTAAAATCACACTCACTGTATAAAGTGAGAGAATATAGTTTTACGCCGCTTTTAGCAATATTCCAGCAACATCACGGCGGGGGAACACCAGATATGGGCCTCACACATTGTTTACCCATGTAGGGAAACGATCCCTGGATGTTAACGTGACGAGCGAACGCATTTACCACTAGCCTATCCCATCGCCCCCTACTGTAGAAAGAGTTTGTCAGCCGAATGTGTTAACTGTAATTACCATTTGAGAGCGGTGTCTTGGGCCCTGATTATGGTATATGGCTCCATGTCACGTTTTGTTTTAATTTTGTAGGATGTTTTGTTCTTTTGATATTTTGGGTAGCCATCTTGGATTTAGAAAACCGAACATAGGTGAAATAAAATAATCTTCGATCACTTGCCCAAACACGGTTAAAAGTTCTTTTATAGTTGGGAAGTTTTGCCATTCTTTCAATGTAGCACACGAAGATTTCAGACAGCCTCATGCGACTCTTCTCGCTGGTTGTTTGATCGGGGATGCATTATTTAAGGCCGTAGGATATTGTGGAGCTTGTGGATATTCTGGGGCGTGGTGGGCGAGCTGGCTAAGGCGCCAGGCCAGTGATCCAGCAAGCTTGAGGAGACGGGATCAAGCCCACATGTGTAAAAACCTTGGAGTTAACTTTGCGTGCAGACTCTCTTAGTGTTGTCACAACCCCTAGTGTACAGTACACAACCCTGTGCACTTAAATAACCCACGAATCCGTTAGTATATGACCAGATGGTGGCCACATGAATACGTGCAAACACCTAGTTGCGGGTAGAGCAACGTGCAGTAAACTTGGACAAAGTACTATGACTACTGTCCCAGTCCACCCAGCTGTGAATGGGTACCTCGTAAGGATGGGTAAGCCACATGTACTCGGTGTGCCTAGTGGCTGCAAGAGTTGTATGATCCGCAGGGAGTTGAGACTGATTATACACTGTGCCGTTTGAGACTGACATCCAATGATCGAGGGAAAAACAAAGTGCCTTTGAGCAGGTGATCTGGATATTGGCGCTATATAGATATATATAAATAAATAAAAAAATAAAATAAAAGGTATTTCCAAATTGCACGCATCAGTAACCAAATTATGTACCTTGTCGTTTCCTTTCTGTAACATACGTTCCCGTTGTTGTCAGTGAATAATTGACTTGACTTTGCATGTGTTTGTTTGCATGTCTCATTCGTTTGAAAATTCAATGCAGTATAAAGTAAACAAATCAACTTCTTTATTTTTCTGTCGTAAGAAAACAAGGGGGAAGACGTTACACTGCCAACACCACAATCAACATTCCCCTCGAGTACAACCATGAATGTTTCCACTATTTCTACATCCGTCGCTTCCACAACGACATTACTTTCTTTCTCGACAACGACACCATCGTCTGTTACACCATCTACAACGACACCATCGTCTGCTACACCATCTACAACGACACCATCGTCTGCAACACCATCTACAACGACACCATCGTCTGCTACATCGCCAGGTAAGTGTCAGGCTGAAGGAGGTATTTGCTGAAAACTTTGCGTATTTACTTTGTGTGTAAAAGTTCCTAAAAATGGTTTGCTTGTGAAATCAGTCATAGTCGTATTTACTTTCTATTTTAACACTTACACGTTAACATAATTTTATCCCGAAGTGTGAAGAAGGCTTACATGTCTAACTTAAATTATCCTAAATATTTAAATCTTAGAGGAATCTTGACCATGGTTATGACAAAAAGAGTTATAAGGGCAACGGATTGATACGTTTCCGTGTATTCAATCTTTTACATGTGAAATTAATAAATTTTAATTTAATTTAAATTTCTTAAAAACAGAAACGTATGTTTGTCCAATGTTCGCTTTCATCGTGTAGGTTGTATGCGGAAGTGCATTTCGTGCACAACTTACAACACCCGGTGTCCGGCGAATGGTGCAATAGTCGAGGGCGACCCTGGAGAAGTGATCACCTGTCCATGTGATACTGCTTGCTATTCTGAAGTCAGATACGATGACGGTGAGAGTTTGTGACCACTCTTGTCATCTTTCAGTATTCGGCACCATTTTATTTAAATTACTTGTTTTGCAAGTGGGTCCACGAGCAAACGGGAAATATTCAACTAGTACAACATCCGTCCTTGTTTTGTAAATTTGCCGACATTTTGCGATATGTAAAACAGTTGACATCAACGGGCGCTTGTTATTCAGTATGTTGAAACAATCACGAAAGTCTGTCTCAGAGTCTTTAACCACAATCTTTTCCCTTCCGCCCAACCCTTTCTGCAGTGCTAAAGTCCTAAATGAAGCAAATCTAGATTTCATCAAACTGAATCTCAGAGCTCACTGGGTCTCGTATTAAATTTAAATAGACTTATTTGTTTCTGTCACAATTACATATTTTCAGAGACTCAGCGTTAGTCTTCAATTATGACAGACACTTTGGCATATTTTAAGAAACTTTACCCATACACCAAACATAGTTATCAAAGTACTTATGATAATAAACAGTTTTTGACAGGGTTCTTGTTCTCGCACATAACATTAATAAATAGGTTAATTAAAGAGGCGAAGAGTGAAGACGTAAAATAAAATCCCGTTACTCAGTATATTACCGTTAATCCATGCTATGTCTGTGAAATATGTCAATGTCTGTGTCAGTTTGATGCCAGAATTGAAGGATTGTTTGATACAAGCATATTTCAGATAACAGGCCAGTGACCTTGACCTTCACTGCAACAAGTGCAACCGGAAGTTTAGGACTCGTATCATCTTTCTTCACTCTAGCCTGTCTTTGTGATTTTCTTTTGTTGTAAATCAAATTCAAGTACATGTACAAATGATTCCTATGATGTACATCATCATTCTTCAGGTTCCGCTGTTCACCGAGGATGCACCAAGGATTACCCCGCTTGGGATGCGGCGTCCTCTATTGATCTGTCGTGCAGGGAGATTGGTCGACATTTTCTGTGTTTTTGTTATGGAGATCGGTGTAACAAGGACGACATGACGTCACACATTCCCTGAAATAATTAGAAGATTCGTGCCCACGGATCTATGGAGCTCTTCTTGATGTGTATATATGCATACATCTGTGTGTTCGATGAAAGTAAGATTTTCATGGCTTTTAGTTTATTGTTTATTGATTCTATCCGAAGAGTTTCAGCTATATCACGGCGGTCTGTAAACAATAATCGAGTCTGAACCACACGATACACTGTTTGACATCATGAGTATCGATCTACGCAAATGGGATACGATAACTTGCATCTTCCATGTCAGCCGGCCTGACCACCCGATCCCCTTAGTCACCTCTTACTTCATGATCTTAACCACTTTTTCATTTTGTAACTGCTGTGGGCACTTAGATAGTCATAAACTACGAAAAGATTAAATCGCACAAAATATTTTGTAGATTGTGTTGTCTGTTTTAAAAATCGGCCTTCTTGTCACATTTATATTCATGACCTCATTCACATAAACATCCACATGAAAAACGTCAGCTGATATCGAACATCCTATATAACTCTCTTTTCTATATTTCCCTCCTTTAAACCGCTTTAACTGACAGTTTAGCTAAAAACATACAATTCACTTTCTTAGGGTATTAGGTATCATTGTTGGAGATAGTTACCCTATGAAGGTCAGGTTTACTTAAAGTAGGACAAGACACTGTAAAACATTAACTCCTCTATAGGTTTCACTTAGGGTATTAGGTATCATTGTCGTATATAGTTACCCTATGAAGGTCAGGTTTACTTAAAGTAGGACAAGACACTGTAAAACATTAACTCCTCTATAGATTTAACTTAGGGTATTAGGTATCATTGTCGTATAAAGTTACCCTATGAAGGCCAGGCATACTTAAAGTAGGACAAGACACTGGAAAACATTAACTTTTCTATAGGTATAACCACCAAAACGATGCATTGTGAAAACAGTCAGTGAGTTTTATGTCGAATCGGCAGTATTTCCGCCATACAGCGACGAGACCAAGTCTGCACATATAAATAAGTCCACTACAAGAACAAAGTTAAAAAACAGCTTCTTAAAATACGTCACTGAAGTATTATTTACAATTAGAAAACATCACAACACCATCGTACATCATGTCATAATTCCTCAAACACATAAATACTTACCATATATGATGCAGAACAATTTCTATCAAGTTGTTCATATTAATGAGATGGCCGCTCACGGGGGTAAACAGGCCCTGATTTCCCGAAATATAATTCAAACAAGCTCAAATCTTGACTATCAGAAGCAGCTACATCTTTAACTCAAATGCATTTTTAAAATAAGAAAGCCCAAACAACTTAAGTAATCTATCCACCAAACTCAAATTGTCTACCATGTTTAAGTTTGATATCAATTTCAGTTCATTCTTGGAAATGCATTTTCCTGCGTTTTCTTAAATTTGAGTAAAATCTCTAAATTAAGTCAGAACTCAGACTTAAGTTTGTTACTACTTAATAACGTGAATCCCTTGCATTTGAAAAGTCCGCTCGGTCAAGCAGAAGGTGTTGTGAAGATAAAATATATTACATTGCTAGGTCCCTCTTCCACTGAAAAACAATAGTCTTTGGAGCAAAGGAGAATTTAATGTCCTAACTATTTATATTCTACCCCTTTAGAATTCAGAATTTAAGCTGAATAACATTTGAATAATGAACGTCATTCTAATTACACGCACACAATGTTACAATGTGTAACATTTAGACAGTGAGTGAGTATAGTTTTACGCCGCTTTTAGCAATATTCCAGCAATATCAAGGCATTGGACACCATTAATGGGCTTCACACATTGTACCCATGTGGAGAATGGAACTCGGGTCTTTAGTGTGACGAGCGAACGCTTTAACCACTAAGCTACTCCACCGCACCATTTAGACAGGAGAAAAGATCGTGGGAAATTGTGGCTGTTTAATACATAGAGTACACTAAGATCTCATGTGAACGTAACACAATAGACAGGAAGTCAGTTGTCATCGGATATCCTTCAGAATGACACAGCGCTGAGAAGCACACCCTGTCTGACATCCTCCTTTTGGTTTGTAATTGATATGAATCATGTCATTAATTCTAAGGAAAGAAGAAATTATGCAACAACACTCCCATCTTCGAATGTGACCAGCAAGTCAAGTGTGGTAAAGCATCTCATCAACACGGGTCATCGGAGCACCACACGCTGTTAGATTGAAATCACTGAATGAGTCTGACCAGTGGAGTTTGACATTTTTCCTTCAGAAGATTTATAAGTTCTCTGAAGTATAAAAATAACACTAATCATTCGGTATTGAGTCACTTAGTAAGTGGGAAAGTGAGTTTAGTTTTACGCCACACTCAGAAATATTCCAGCTATATGGCGGTGGTAAAATGTAAATAACATTTGGTTCGTTGTTTGTGATATTAATAATAAATTATTATTAAAAAAATGAGTCTGGACCAGACAATCCAGTGATCAACAGCACGAGCATCGATCTACGCAATTAGGATACGATGACATGTGTCAACCAAGTCAGCGATCCTGACCACCGATCCCGCTTGTCGCTTCTTACGACAAACATGGGTTACTGAAGATCAATTCTAACCCGGATCTTCACGGGTCTTCGATTCATTGTCTCAGAGCAGAAGCACTTCAAACTTCAAGCGTAAGAACCATTTGGTTTGGAAGTTAGATCCCCTAAGATCACGACGGTATTTGAGACGCTTTTTTGAGATGCCGAGTGGACGCCACTGCTGCCAGGAGGTCCGTGCCAGTTCGGGATAAGTGAAAATTATGTAAAAAACTGAATTTATTCTAATAAGAATTTTATGACGTCTTTGAAATATATCTGTCACCATGGCAACATGAAGTCATGCCTCTGAAATGACCAATGAACACACGGATAAACGTCTTTGTATATAGTTAATGGAGAGATTGATTAGGAAGCTAATATACAAATATCTGTGTAAAGCACAATGTGTGTTAACATGTCACAGAAAAACCTCGTGATGATGGTATGTTTAAAACAGCTATATTGAATATTAAACGCAATTTCAAAATATCGAAAATGTAACAAAAGTCGTATTACGCTGTTTGAAAGAGAACGCTCGATTGTATCTCAACAATTGTAAAAGGTTGGAGCTACTTGAATATCAAACCTTTGTCACTTCCGCCATATAGCTGGAATACTGCGGAGTGCGGCGTTAAACAACAAACCAACCAACCATACAAACACGCACATGAACACACAACCTGCCTGGACACGAGTCGTGTCGTGTTACATGTGCAATGTACACGTTCGTTTCTGAGAAAGTAGATTCCCTGCAAGTTGTGAAATTCCACAAAACGACCTATGGAGGGGCAATGAAATAGTCGCATTAGAAGGAATCTTGTTTGCCATTATGCATATATATTGCAGATTTCTTCATGCGCCTTTTCCACATCAGCAGATATGCTCAAGGCGCAAGAATGACTGATTGAAAGAGTCTCCCACATTTATACAGCAACATGTACACGTCCAAATAGAGTTCCTAATAATACATTGAAACCAGGTATGTTTTGAGTCCTGACTTGAATGTGGCAATACTATCAGAAACTTTCAGATTGTATGGGAGTGAATTCCACAAGGTTGGGGCTGCACATGAAAAAGTCCGGTGTCCAAAAGTTTTAAGCCTGAAGTTTGGCACAAACAGAAGCTCTTGATTGGATGATGGAAGGCAGCGTTTGTTTCAGGAAGGAGTAAGCAGGTCAGAGAGATATGGGGGAGCAAGTCTGTGACCGGCCATGTAGGTGAAGCAGATACTTTTGTAGTCGCTTCTTGTCTTGACGGGGAGCCAGTGCAACTGTTTAAGAACAGGTGTGATGTGGCCATGTTTAGGAATCCGACTGATAATACGTGCGGCCGTGTTCAGCACCTTCTGTAACTTATCCAATAGCCTCTGACTGATCCCAAACAACAAGCTGTTGCAGTAGTCGAGCCTTGAAATCACAAGCGCCCGGACTAAGGCATGGGTGGCTTCAGCTGTAAGATATTGACGGGTGTTGCTGATGGAGCGAAGATGGAAATAGCAAGTCTTACAGATGTTGTTCACCTGTGTTTCCATTGACAGTGATGTATCAAAGTATATGCCTAGATCTTTGACAGATGAGCTTAACTGCATCGGCGATGGTTAGGTTCTTAATGGGACATCTTGACATTTGGTGACTTGTTCCTACCAGAAGTGCCTCAGTCTTCGTGCCATTGAGTTTAAGCATATGAGTTGTCATCCAGGACTTGATTTTCCTTGTGCAGTTTGTACATATGGACCACTCCCCTTCACTCGGTCCCGAGACTCCATGTACGCTCCAAATGTCGACATCATGGGATTTCCAATGAAGTAAGATCTATTCTGACGATTCTTCCCATACAGGCATTCTTTTATATACGTTATGTCTACACTTAGAATCAGATCATGGAACGGCCACCCAGTGTAGCAGGGCCATTTGATATGAAGATAAATTGACTTCTCTTGTCCCAAGACTAAACCGGAGTTGGTACTGGTTAACGGAGTTTTTCAGCGGATACCCTACAAATATGTCTCGTCAGACGGTCAGGGCCAGCGTGTTTTCCCTTAGTCCAGCTGGTCAGAGCATACAAGAAGTTCACAAGATCGGGGCTGAGTTCGACGCTAGACATGATGGAGATGTACCTGGACGAGCCAGTCCTCAGGCAGTATTGCGACGTACATTGACGTACAGGACGTGGTAGGGTACCAAAGATATTGCTATTTGGTTGAACATCTCCCTGTTTGTGATCATATATCGCTTTGATCGTGTTTGAATTTCATTGTTTTCATTTGAGTGTGTGAGTGAGTATGGTTTTGCGCCGCTTTTAGCAATATTTCAACAATATCACGGCGGGGGACACCAGAAATGGGCTTCACACATTGTACCCATGTAGGGAATCGAACCCGGGTCTTCGATGTGACGAACGGACGCTTTAACCACTAGGCTACCCCACCGCCCCGTATTCATTTGAGAAAGATATAATGAGGATATTAAACTTTGCAGATTACACCATCTCAAAATGTAGATAGACGGCCACGGACTCTTCCACCATGCCAGCGGTGTCTTGTGGTTGGTTTGATAATGCT